AAAGGTATTATTATTTTTCACTATAAAAGTACCACAGGAGTACTCTTCTTCCTTAAGGTGGTTGTGACTATATTATACAAAAAATAAAGTCATCTTGGGTGTTTAGAATAGCTTTTGAAAACTCATTACCCGTGGGAAATGTTTTGCGTGTCTTGATCTTAAAATAGAGGACAAAACTGAACGAAGAAGACTCTGCATAGAACTATTCATACCTTCATTCTTCATTCATTCATTATTTATCATTAAAAAAACAAGAAATGCTCCATTAAAGTATATGATAAATACTCAGTGCAGGACTAAAAAGGTAATTAAAAGACAGTTATTAAGTTTGATAATAGAAAATTGGTAATAGAAAAAATATACTAAAAAAATACAAATGTAGGGTAATGGTTGTAACTTAAATGACACTATGGTGACGGTATTAAGGCTATTAATGTTTGTATCAGGGCAGTGGGATAATGGATGACTAGCTTTTTAAAATTTTTCTTTTGCTTTAAAGTATAATGTTTATTAAATTTTGGTGATATGAAAGAATTAAAACCACTGTAGAAACTCTGGAAATTATAGAAATACACAAAAAAGAAAAAACATCACTTGAAAGCCAGAGAAAACCATTCTTATTACTTAGTATACTCCCTTCCAGTCCTGTTTTACTTTTTCAGTTTGCTTACAGGGTGTGCCTCATGCTAATAATGCTGGGAACCCAAAGCATGTACACTGTTATAATATATTTATGTCACTAAATACTCTTAAAATATGTACATGTACATGAATGTTAATGGCCATGCAATTCCTTCAGAGGAATGCCCTATGTTTTTGTATACTTAAAACCTTCAAAACATTGATTTAGATTTATGGTGGAAATCCATTATGAATTCAGATACATTTGGTTTTATCGTCATGATACAAATTTTCAGAACTCTTCAGTATTTTTTTTTGAAAAATGTATTTCCTTCTCGAATTAGCTGTGCTTTCCGTATTCAGGCACACCCTTTATTTGTATGACACAGTAAGAAAACCTGATTCTACTGGAGACCAAGTAGGGAAACTTGAAAGCAAATCGCACTTGTTTTGCCTCATAAAACATCATTATCTACACGTGAGTTTGAAAAGAATTCTCCTGAATTTTTACTTCGAAGATTGAAATGATTGAATAGATACAGTTTGTCCTTGGCAGAACATTAGAACTATTATCACTCAGAGGAGAAAAGAAAGTAATTTAAACAATGACGATCTTTAGAAAAAACGTTAGGGCTGATATTAATATAATGGAAAATTTTGTCTTTTCACGTATCTTCGAAATATCAGAAAATCACTACAAATTCTAAAAGTCAAAAACTCTATTTTGTGGTAATCAGTATTTGTCGGATGCCTAAAGAATTTTATACTTTCTGTTGGTTGCGGTTTCATTTACGTAAGGATGCTATGCAAACATCAATTATATCTTGCATCTAGGGTTTCTGTGTATTACATCTATATATAATTGCAGTTGGTACCTTTTAGTTTTCTAAATAATTTTGTTTTCTGTTGGTCAGTGTATTGTTTTACATAATTGCTCTACTCAAATGTCAATTTTCTGTTAATATATTTAATATATTACAAATATATATAAGATATATATTTCCACAGGAGTAACTTGTTTCTATAATAATTAGAGGAAACCTATCTTAGTTAAGGGAATAAAGGCAAAGTGATTAAAGGAAACACTTTTCAATATGAAAACATAATAATACACTAAAAAAAAGATGAAGATGGGATGGCTCAGAGGTAGAGCTGTTGTGAAGCCAAGTTTTTTTCCCAGCTTCTGTGGCTGTGTGATTGGTAGGGACACAGGTGTCTTATCAGCTTGATGATACTGCCCCTGAGCGACTGATGGATATAATTATGATTCCTAGTAGGAAAAGTGCTCTCGAGGTGATCTATTATGGAAAGATAAAATGCATATTTATGTCCTTACACGGTATGACCTTGCTTTTGAATTTTAGATTTCTTAGATATGTTAAAAAAAATGGAGACCGGGCTTCAAAATCCCTCAAGCAACAAAATCATTTAAGCCATGTAAGCAAAACTAAATCTAGCTTATTTCATGAACATGAACAAAACTTAGGGTGTTTCTTGTAAATCCTCTGATAGTTATAAACAAAATTTAAGTTATCTTCCTAAAATGGTACAAGATAATCACTTTTAACCAATCCCCGCCATCTGGAAACCCTTATTCTAAATACCAATCATTGTAAAGATTAGACAACCTCCTCATTTTCACTTTATAAGCCAGCTTGTAATGTCTTACCTCTGAAATTCGTACCAGTTTGGATTTGAAGTCTCCCTGTTTGCTGAACAGTTAGTTTCTTGCTGAAGAAAATATTCATATCAAGTAAAGCTCTCTGAATTTTTCTTTTGACAGATATTTTTGCTGGAAAACTCCAGCCTTACTTGGGTTTGATTCTTTGGCCTCAGGTCACAGGCTTTGATTTTTTATTTTATTTTGTTAGAGTCTTTTTAGCTATTTAACTGTCAGACTCTCTCTTTTTAGATGTTCTGAGAACCTGCAGACGACTGACAATAAGTAAACTGGATTGAGAAAAAGTGAGGATGTTTGCAGATTAAAAAAAAACAAAAAACAAAAAACGGAGAAGAAAAACAACCTCCTATTTGGCAGAAAATTTCAGGGACTAAAGAAATTATGACTCAGGAGTCTGTCCCAACAGCAGTAACGTTCTCAAACACCGAATTCTCTAGTTTAAGCTACAGAATATCATGTGTTATGTAAAGATAAGATAGTCAGGGGAAGTGGTCTATTAATATATTGCTAATAACCGTCCCTTAGGGGAGTAATTGTAAATGATCCCCTAATATGACAAGTATATTTTTTAATGATTTTCCCATCCTGAATCCATAAAACATAAGCCATAGAGTGTCATAATAAATACAAGCTGAGCTAAAATCTGATTTCCCAGGTGCACAGGGGGTTTTATTTCATAGGAAGTATTTTACATCAGCATCAAAATCCCCACTGCTCATGCTTCACTTATATCCATACCTATGGGAATAAAAACAACCTTTTTTTTTTTAAAGATTTTATTTTTACTCGTTTGAGACACAGAGATACAGAGAGAGAGACAGAATAAGCAGGGGGACAGGCAGAGGGAGAGGGAGAGGGAGAAGCAGACTCCCTGCTGAGCCAGGAGCCTGATGCAGGGCTCAATCCCAGGACACTGGGATCATGACCTGAGCCGAAGGCAGACGCCCAACCATCTGAGTCACCCAAGCGGCCTAAAAACAATCTTTTAATTGATATAATAAAAGATCACAGCATTGATGGTGTATAAGCAACAGAGACTTTAATGGTAAAATGCTTCTCATTTGATACTGATAATTATTGAATTTTAAATTTTGTACTTTTTATCGCAAACAAAAATGTAATGAGAACCTTTAGTTAGGTAAAAAGGTAATAAAAGTTGGTTGTCACATAGAGGGTAGAGTCTCAAAATGCATCTTATTTTAATACTCTTATTTTTAGAAGATTGTTAATAATTAATAACTTTATAATCCCATATCTAAATTCAATTCAGATGCTCACACTAGAGAGTCTGTTTTTAGAGTCACAAAAATGATGAAATCGTGTTTATTTTTTGATGGTAAACAATGCTTGCTCATAAATGGTAACTCTACTCTTTTAGGAATCTTCATAAATCCTTCAAATTTGACTCTTATAGAAAAGTAAGTGAGTTATTTTTCCCCTGTACTGAATCATTTGCTTCTTGTGGCTCACTACAAGTTAAAACAGAACAAAACAAAATACACAATCTCTTGTACAGAGAGCTATATTAACAGTGTTGCTGTATTTGAAGCAGTGATTTTGGGGGTGGGTGTGTGTCTTTGTGTGGCTTGGGGAGGAATTGTGTGGATCAAAAGGGTCACAGTTCTCATGATGTGTATAAGAATCTTTGTGACATATATGAAGTTGGCAGAATAAATATGTGTTGATATTTCTGTATACATCAGTGATATCAGAAAACTGGATTAAACAAAGTAAGTTTTAAAAAGATAGAAGAATTTTAAAAACCCTTTAATGTTTCCTAAAAATTGCCAAGAAAAGTTTATATATTCTGCTTGGGGAATTTACTTGGCAATGGCATTTTTGTGTCTTAAAAATAAAGGTTGGAAAGTTTCCAAAAGCCTGATTTTGGAAGCACTGCCTACAACAAAGAACAATCTTCACTGTGAAACACTGGAAAAAGGTGTTCACAGATCATGGAAATATACATGTTCAGAGGAATACAGCTTTTACCTGGCCAGCATCTATAGAGACCATCCGTTTACCCACGGAGAGGCATCAGTTTGGTTCAAGAACGGTTCCGGGAAAGGAGTCAAGGTTTTGTTATGCCTCCTCTAACAGAATAGATGATTTGCATATACTTATAACAGAGGAAACACCTATGTGTAATGATTCTCAGTTATTTCCCTAAGGAGGTGAAAGCATTTTCAAAAATTTCATTAAATGGTCCACTGTCTGAAGACAGACTCTGGGTCTTGCTCACCCTATTGTATGTGCAGTATAGTTAGTATGGTTTCCGGCCCACAGCAGAGACTGCACAATTGTTCTTGAATGAATAAATGTACAGTTGACAGCAACATTAAAATTCATGTAGAAAATGAGGACGTTAGATCTTTATCTCAGAAAGTGCTGACATGTATAAAAGGTCAGCACAAATTCAGATGAGATTTGATAATCATCTATCCAAAATCCAGATATCTTTCACCCCGTTTGGACCTGATTAGAACACACACACACAGTGATAACTGAATAATCCCGCCCCCATATTTGCTTTATTGCTAACTTCATTTTATACATACTTACAGAGTAAGTCAGTATTTCAAGCATGTAAGTTCAACCTTGCCACTCCATTGCTTAATATACTCCGATGGCTTCTCCTTCATCTGAATAACATCTGGATTTTATTCTCACCCTGGCTTACAAAAGTCAGACCCCTGCCTACTTCTTCCACCTCGTCTCTAAGCCTTTCTACCACACCCCAGTTACAGAAGACTTCTTTAGGTTTTAGCCACATGCAAGCTCTCTACTAACAGTCTACTGCATGAAATTCTCTTTCTTTTGATCTCCACATGATTGGTCCATTCTTGCCATTCAGATCTGATTACTTGGAAGTGACCCTCCACCACTCTGTAAAACATGACGCTGTTTGAATCTCAGCATAGAACTATAAGTAATGGATGGTAAAAGCTCCTTTTCTATTGTTTGTATTAAAAAGAAATTGATGTGATGGAAAAAAAGATTAATTTCTGTATATTGACCTTATATCCTGAGATCTTGCTAAATTTATTTATTAGTTCTAGCAGCTCTTTTGTAGAATCTTTGGGTTTTTCCTCATATGCAATTAAGTTATCTGCAAATAAAGATAGTTTTACTTCTTCCTGTCCAATAAAAAAAAGAAATTATTCTCATTTTTATTACTGATTTGTTGGTTTACTTGCTTATTGTCATTCTTCCTCATCACTGGAATACAGATTCGATGACAGGCAGGACTTTGTCTCTGCCCTTTTTCTGGCTCACAAAATGGTGCCTCACATGTATTGGATACTTAAATATTTGAAACTAGTTAAAATAAGATTTGTAAGAGGCAGAATAAAAATGGAGGAATGTGTCAGGAAGTGTTTGATTGGGAAACAACCCCACTGTGTACCGGAATAAATCAGAATAGAATTAATGATTAGAGTTAATAATTTTATGGCAAAAGTCATAATTATGTATTTCCTCTGTATTATAAAATTTTCATTGTTCTTTTCAACTTGAAAAGTTGAATGGAAAAATACATATAAAAGATTCCTGATGTTAATTTGATTATAATAAACCAAATAACAAAATCAGAAGAAGTAGTTAAAAGCTCAAGGTAGTAAAAGAAAAGGATGAAAGATATAAAAAAAACACTTAGTTACAAGAGTGCATAGATGTGTTGTTTTAGTTGCTCCTATTATGTATGTAGCAGTATGTGAGTACATTTTTCTTTATTTCAAAGAGCACTGCAAAATAATAAATGGTCACAAGAAAAATAAGATGGTGTGTGCAGACCGATAACGTCAATGATGAGTTAGAATATACTAAAAGTATTGTGTGACCTAACTGCATTTATTTGTAGTGTAGTAGATGTCATCTGCTGTCCTTGATGTATGCCTTCCCTCCCTGAGAAATGCCCCTTCATCTTTCAGGAGTAGACTTCTGGAGCCAAGTTTGTTCTCTGGATTTCAGACCCCAATCAGGTCAGATGCTCTCATTTAAGAATTTGAAATTGGGATTCCCAGAAATAATTATCTTATGCAGATCTGTACACAGGTTGCTCAAGAACTATAGGAGAACATCTTTTACTGGGTGGACAGAGAGGCAGAGAAAGCTGGTCTATTCAGAGAAAAATAAATACATAAAGCAGTTGCACCCTGTGAGGCAGAAATGAGAAATTATGTGATTCAGGTGAAAAAAGGAATTGTCTTTCCTTATACCACTTGTATAAAGCTTCTCTACATTTGATTGTGCATCTCTCTTTTTAAAATTTTTTATTGTTATGTTAATAACCATACATCATTAGTTTTTGATGTAGTGTTCCATGATTCATTGTTTGTGCATAACACCCAGTGCTCCATGCAGAACGTGCCCTCTTTAATACCTATCACCAGGCTAACCCATCCTCCCACCCCCCTCCCCTCTAGAACCCTCAGTTTGTTTTTCAGAGTCCATCGTCTCTTGTGCATCTCACTTTTCAGG